GTAAATTTTTCTCACTCTGATGGCACTAGAATTATACGTTGACACGCGCAATCAAGTGTGTAGTAATTAATTTCAAATGTAAATATTATCCTTCCTCTCTATTATATTATTCGTGTCATCTGCAGAATATCCTAAATTGTTCTCAGATAATCCATTTAAACTCATTTCAAACTATTATATATAGTATAGGATACATAACTCAATGAGCCGCAAACTTCCGTTAATTAATTCGTGTAATTAGTTGAAAATTGCGGATAAAATTCCCGCTTCTTGAAACAATCAATTTTTCTGAAAGCTAGTTGTATACCACGTAAGGTTGTATATTGTAGAAAAATTTGTTTAAGGATGCATCAAGTCTAATAATCTCTGAAAAAAGTGACTCAAATTAGAAATTTATTTTATATTTTCCATATATAAAAATATAAAAAATAAGTGTTAATACATATATGAAACAATCAATTGACAATAAAAAATTTATATTTAATAAAACAATTTTATATAGTTTAAATTTTCTTATTCCATCTTAGTTATTTTTTAAACGTGTCTACTTCTTATTGCAATAATTTTTTATAAGATTTTAAATCGCTGCCAAACTATATATTTCTTTCAAATATATAAAAATTTGTAATTTTTTATTTTATTAAAAATTTCTTTTATACACATCCTTAAACTCGTGATTTTTAACAACTACTTTTCGTGTTCATTTTAATCGTTCGTAATGCGATACAATTAGTATCTTCGGCAAGTACCCTTAGACTTAGCGTTCCTCGCTTTTACGCTGAGTAAGTTCGGCCCACGTAAGCCGGCCGCTCCCGCAGTAGTCCCTAAAAAGCCCTTCGGCGGCCGTCCGAAGTTCCAAGAGTGATACTCGAAACAAATAAATTACGGACTTGTGTTTCAGCGTGGATCCTGGGATGGTTCATGTGCAAAGCGGTTGCTTATATACAAGGCGTCTCCGTAGCAGCCTCCGTCTACAGTCTGGTTGCGGTCTCTCTAGACAGGTAAGTGTTACTCGTCCGCTTTTTACATCTAGGTATATATAGAGAGACAGTGTGTGGATGTAGTACATGTGGGAAGGTGTTTGTTATATCTACTCTATACGGACGCGCACAGATCGAGTCGCATATGTTAATCAAAAGCGATATCGCGCGTTCACATGTATCCATCTTTTTTCTTTTAATCTTAGACATTGAAAGTTAGATTAAGGTTGCCTTAAATTCAATAACTGAGTGGTTATGCGCGTGCCGTTTTACCGAAGTTATTTGACAAGTCTCAAATTTTTACAGACAAACCTGTTATACGAACTGGATAAATTAAACGAAAAATTATATATATAATTATCTGTACAAGATACTGATGAATTCTTACGTTATTTTGATACGGTCTTACAGTAAGGTTACTAAAAATATACAAATCTGTCCTTACGTCTGATGAAATCTAACGCTTTTCTTGCGGCAGCCCCGTAACGGGTTCCACCGTGACATATTTATTTCTCATCAGCAATGCAATGCGCTCACGGACAATAATTATAGACTACGGTGTAACGCACACATTATCGACATGTTTCCATTATGGGTATATCGATCGTGGTAATGGGCACATATCATACCCACACTCAAAATTTATCATGTAATATATAATGCGATATTAATAGGGGGAACAATGCGTTCAGTGTGTCGCGTGATATATCGTAACACGTATCGCATTATCGGCATTATAGTGAAGGTTTATTAACTATCGCTAATGCATAGTTTTCACGTCGAACTTATTTCATATGAAAATCACCCACGTTTGCATAAATTGATTTTTACACGCAAACGATATGTGCGCTGCTCCTTACGTGACACTTCCGTTTTATGAGAGAATAAAATGTAGCCTTCGTATCTCATTCATGGTACAAATTATTACTATATATTCACGATGTCATAAAGATGCACCTGTTCAACTGAATGGCGCTCGTGCGAAAGGCCAGAGTGAAAAGCTCCCGTAGTCTAAAAAATTATCTCTAATCACAAATATAATAAAAAGAGATGAGATAGAATAAGTTGAAAAGTGAAACTTATTATAGATTGTATTTGAACTTTTTGAAAAAAGATAACCTGATATCAATTTCACATTAGAAGATAAGACTTTTACGGTGAATCCGAGGAACAGTTTTATAGCGATCTTCGGAAGCGATCGATCTTCCATGAATTGCTTGGCGAGAGGGACCGTACCAAACTTGGAGAATTGTCTTTCGCCTACCACGTACGTGCGCAAATATATTTTCCAGCTCTTGTCACGCGATCGACGATGCAGCCAAGAGCGCTGAAAATATATCTTCCTCCTGTCCCATACGCCTGGCGACGAGAAATGGCAGGGAAACCCCTGAGCCTGTATATCCGAGAAAAATCTGAGGGACATCGGACTGGAACTCGCATTGAACTTGCAGTGTCATTGTTGCAATCCTTTGCAAACAACCATGCGAATCTTAAATTACACGAGCTCGTTTATTTGGCGAAATAAATTTCGCGCATGAGAGGAAATATTCTATTTGCGAGCAGCGTTATTTCCCCTTATTGGAAACTTCCAATATGTCGTGGAGTTTCGACGCTGAAAATTTTACAGGATCTTATTTTCGTTACGATTCCTCGTAGGAACGTATGTGTATTTGTATTGTAAGATATTGCTGCATCTAAAACACACACGCACTCATAACGTTCTCTCGCTATGGATGGTTAACTCTATCTTCAGCTCTAACTGCTATCCGAATCGTTGTGAAATTGAAGAGCATCATTTCGACGTTGTCTGTGATTTACCTAGGACATTAACGGCCGATAATAAATAAAAGCGCACTTGATCTTTGTGTGGATATAGAATAAGAATTTTAATAAATATTTATTTAAATAATACTAACTAAATATTTACTAAACGTAAACGTATATTTATTCGATATAATAAGAACTACTTTGATTTAAATATTATTTTTTATCGAGTAAATATTTATTTATTTAATATTTAATTATTGGAAGTAAATATTTAGTGAATACTATTCCAACAAATATTTATTAAAATTAAAAGTTAATAAACTTTTTCAGTATATCATTTTGCACCGTGCACACACACATACGCTATTCGAGGAGATACTCTAAAAATTGTCTCGATTTGACCCGCGATATTTGATCGCGCTTGTTATTCCCGTTTTACGACGCGTTCGTAATTTGAGTCATATTATAATATCGCGCCGCGTTATTCAATCTAGTGTTAAAATTTACGCAATATACCTTCCATTGATAAAAGTTTTACTTCACGCTCCGTATGAAGAACCTTTGGAGACTCTCACCGCAGCTGGGATCTGCTCCCTGATGTGTGGTGTTGCGCGGATTAAATTGCTCTTCCCCTAATTTCACTGGCTTAGCGAATGACAGGAACTATTCTAATCTCCGTGATTACCCGAATCGTTACGTCGAACTTCCAATCGTAGGTTTCAAGTTTGACTGGAATAATGTAACTTAATTGGGAAAGAATGATGATTAGATGGATAGTAAAATTTGATCAAAGTCCGTGTCATTTTGATTGATTAAAATCTCGATATTTATTTATATGACAATTGATATGAAGTGTATACGTTTATCTATGTCGAACATTGAATGGTATAAGTTAGCTAAGTGTTCTAGAAATTATGAATTACAAAAAACAATATTTAAAGTTTTTGTTTTTATAAAGACATTATATATACATATATATTTATATAATATAAATTTTTTATGAGAGATTCATCAAGTTTTCTCCATCTGTAATTACCTAGGAAAATGCATCAAATATTTATTGTAATTATTCAGTCAAATTCGATGATGAATATTGAAATGATATTGCAATTGATAATTAATATTGAAATGATATTGTAATATTGCGAAATGATATTGTGAATTACAAAAACAAGCGACATTTAAAGTTTTATTTTGTAAAATGTAAATATATTATATACATGTACCGCATGCTGTATCAAATATTGGTATATCGGATTATTTTATAAATGCAATATCTTTTCTAGCGGACATTATATTTATAAAATTGATCGATCAATTACATTTATAAAATTCATCAACCGATTTTATAAATATAATACCTGTTAGAAAAAGCATCTATAAAAGAACCTGACATACTGACCAATATGTTGTGATACGTACGCAGTATATTAATTTCGTTTATTGCGATAGAAGTTTTCTATAACTTCTAAAGCATAATTATCTAGGAATATGCATCAAATATGTATTTCGTGTAATTACTTAGCAAAGCATTGGCACACGACCATCCTATTAATATTCTAAATCTTGGTGCTCAATTATCTTGCGAAATGTTTGCGCAGGAGAAAGAGAAATTTTAAAATATTGCATTCAACTAACCGCAGTTTTCTAATTAAAATTCGTGGAATTGCATCATGGCTTTAAATTCCGCAAAGTTTTTACAAATAAATTCCTTGCTTTTGGCAAAAATACCTGGTTGCGGAAAACAAAGCTCGGTCTCAACTAAACTTTATTTCAAGACTTCACCGACAAATGCTCTCGCAGACAGACATCTGTATGACGTTTGAAAAAGTATATAGAAGGTCGTAGATTTAGACCTTGGCTGCGTCTTTATGAAACAAATTTGCATTTGACGGCGGACACTAGTCGTGATTTTTCTCCTGTATGTATAGGCGTATGTGTATCACTTATCCCACACACTCACAAAATCGCTCCGTGTCAGGTATCGCCGGTATCGGTTCTGCCTGCGTATCCTACAACAGGAGTGTTTTAACCTAATTCGCGCAATAGATGCGAGGGGTTGAAAGCACATTATTGGCGAACCGGTGAGACGATCGGACTAGTATCCCGGAGACGATTGGTCCACCAGCCACCCCACCATGTCCAGTGATCGGCTGACTCAACTAACAGGCATATACCGTCATATAGATACCTCGAGTCACGTGATCAAATTTATGGCGATTTTTAAAAAACCTATGCGGTATATAAGGCTTCCAAGTCGCCGAAACAGACATAAGCTGTCTTTGCTTCCAAGAAGTAACAAGCTATCCTCAATCAATCACCATGTTCAAGCTGGTAAGCTAAAACTTCATCTATAATTATAATCTTTGCGTATATATAAAATTTATCTAATTAATTTTTCTAAATTCTTTTACAAGTTTGTTTCTTTGATTACAATTAAAAGACAAAATTTGAACGAAACAAGTGGCGATTCTTTTCGCTTGTTTGTCGACCATCGCATCCTCTGTCAACTTAACGTACCGACTGACTACTACACGACAAATCGACGAGAACGCAAATACTGTAAAGAATACGCGTCGCAGATATAATAGAACCGTCGATCGATTTTCCGAGATGTAAATTTTCCACAAATAGGGCGGTAGTATTTCCGCTGACTGATTTTACGGAGGCATCGTCGCGATTACTGTTTCTCTCGTTTGTTTTCTCTCGAGTTCGTTGCGATCGGTGAGAGAAGGAATCATTACGCGGGGATTTGTCAAAAGACCGTTACCGTTTTAGCGCAAAACGCATTCACGTTATCTTCCACTCCGAGTCGAGATTTTCTTTTCGCCGGCTCAGAATGGCGCGTCTATGTATCCCGAGCAAACAGTGCCTCTAATACACTGGAGCCGCTGGAGATTCCTTCGTCGTCACTCTCGCACCTCTCGTGATCGATAAAGAGACGGGCAGCTCTCCCACGGTGTGGCATATATGTAAACACGAGAAAAAAAAAGATTCCCGGCTTCTCCCACCCTTGGCTTTCGCGTTTGCTGTGACCTTTCCGCTTTGGCATGCGAGCGCGTATACGACACGACGACGAACGAACCCGCCCTTACACCGTTCACCGGTCTCACGGCGCAATGGCACCCGAGTCTTTGCAGCGGAAATCTACGCGAACGAAATCACCGAAGCAAGCATATTGTTAGTCAGCCGTGGTGGTGTACCGCCGCCGCCATCACTGCCACCGAAACGGAATGCCGTTTGCGTGATGTATTTTTTTTTAACGCAATTTCACCGACTGACCTCGTATTTTCTGTCGCGATTTCTTACAAAACGATATTCAATATTGGTGCTCCCACGTGTTTTTAAACGACCGATTGGATTAGCACGATGCGCGTCTGCCGACATAATCGAGAAAAATCGGACTATCGCGAAACCAATTTGAATCCGAATATTCGCTATAACGTCGAAATGGTATGATTGTAATGGTTTAGCCGAGCAGTTTTAATTATATTGTCTTTATAAACAATGTGATGAACTTTCGGAACTATGAGTTACACGGAACATCCAATGGAAAATACGCAAGCTTATCGTAGGAAAATTTTTGGACGGATTATTATAGAAAAGACTGTTAAGAAGAGTAGTATGCCTCTCTAAGCTCACCTTACAATCTTCTTCGTAGGCTGTCTTCGCTGCCATCCTGGCTGTCGCCGTCGCTTATCCCGGTGGTCTCACCGGCGTAGCCATCAGCCATGGTCTCGGCCCGATCGTCGCTCCCGCGGTCGTTGCTCATGCCCCAGCGATCTCCCACGGTGCCGTTGTCGTTGCCCAGCCAATTGCTCCTGTTGTCCATACTCCCGCTGTTGTCACCAAGACCGTCCTGACTGGCCACGGTCTCGCTCTGCACGGTTAATCTAGGAGAGCCAAGCGTAAACTCACTACCACCACCACCGAGTCACGACGACGCAGCCCTGGAAGAAAAAAACAACATCCCCTGTTCCCTCCGTAAATCAACCTCGTAATGTGAAGGGAAGACGACAAATTTAGCACGCAATTCTCATCGCCGATTTCGACTCTTCACCTTATCGCCGTTCTCCGCGCGTGAACCATCAGGCCCAACGCTCCGCGTGGGTTCGGTCAAATTCCCGTCTCCCCATTTGTCTTTTCTTTGTATTTCATCGATATAAAATTTTCGGACTCTCACCTGGATCATTCCGCCATCATCCTGAATCCTCCCCCTCGTTCATATGGAATTTTAATAAAATTTTAATTATAAACCAACGTGAGTCTTATTGTTCATGCAACTCCTAATCCCGCAGAGATAGTTCGCTCTAAATAATAAAAGAAGGAAAATAACACTGCTATAAAGATAATATCCTTGCTGGCCCTGCGAAAAGATTTTTATGCCTTCCGTTCGCCATTCCGCGTCTGCCGACGTTATCCGACCTTATCCACAATATTTCCATGCTAGTAACAATTTTATTGAACCCACGTACATTATTAAGGGCGCAATAAACCGGAGCGCGCTTAAACGTATCTTTTTTTGTTCTTCCAATATAGGTATTATAGATATATCGAAGCATAGCTGCGTCTTGTTTACACACAGACAAATGGAGTATACAGTTAATACACGTCATCCGTAACGTAGTGCAGAATCCGAGTTTTGCTTTACGAGCGTCTCTGTGAATCATTCTCAAAATAATTCCTCTTTTATCCTTCGTCCTTCGGCTGCATTACATTCGGTTTATCTTATCAGCTGCCCCGTCGAATATTGCGCCTGGAACGAGTCATAGGCGCAGTGAGAATGCCAAGTGTCATTTTATGGCTCGTATAAAACTGACATTGAGATTTGTGGAAATTAACGAACAAAAGGGACACAAAGTCCTTCCTTGTAATCCCGTTTTTTATCTAAACAAATATAAATCCCGATGATTATATTACACTATACACAATGCATTTTATTTCTCACTTGTTTGATTTGTAACTCTCTTATTTTTACGTTCTTAAAAAAATTGATTTTTTTTATTTATTCAAGAAAAGGGGCTGGGTTTTCTGAAGAAAATTTCGGATCGCTAATTTTTGGTGATAATGTAAGATAAAAAAGAGGCTATATTTTTTTCTACAGTGACAGTGTAAAGAAGCAATAGTCCATTATCGCGTAAAATACGGTTAATTATGTTAATATTTTTTCAAAGTGAAATTAAAGAAATAGTAATGACATTTAAAGTAATCTGATATAGTTGTCACCGTAATATTCTTTATCAGAATAGTATGCGTTATATATATGTTAATGCGCATTAGTATGCTGATATGTTCCTCACACGTGTCTTACATCGTCGATCAGATAAACTTTTATGACTTCTTGCAGATTTGCGTAACAAAGTTTCATATTTAATCCGCCATTATGAGTTTTGTAACTAATAAGGAAATTTAAATATGACACGTATTTCTTATATGTATATATATTTTTAAATTTAAATAGATTTGACATGTAAAATATGTTGAATACCACAAATGTAGCAAAATTTCCAGAATTTAATTATATTATATATTATACTACGAAAATATAAGAATGTAATAGAATAACTGATATTTTTTGGATATAAATGGAATAATAACCAAATAAGATTATATTTAATAATTTTATAATCGTCATTAAATATGGAAATGATAATTTTTCAATGATTTTATATGGAAATTGTTATATTATTTTATAGTACTTCTTTAACCATTTCTTCACGTGACATCGTATAAAATTATTTACAAATTTACTCGTTTTCAACACCTTTTTCTTTATGTTTCTTATACATATAATTGATATCTTCATTCATACTCGTATATCTTCAGCCTTCAGGTTAAGTTATTGAGATAAGTTATTGAGATGATCCAAAATAAATCCTTGCAAAAAGAAAAACATTTTTCCCGTTACGAGCATTTAATCTTGTTGCTTCACGCTTTTATTCACATCTGTTTCCTATTTGCTTCACATTATTTGTGCGGAATTGTTTATTGCGGCATAGCGCGCACCGCAGAGAATGCAAGACCAAAATTTAACGTACTATCCTGAAAATGTATCGTTGGCAGATAATGGGTTAAAACGGAATTACTTGTCCGCGAACAGCGCGATTATGCGGTATAATGCGTGTTGTTTCATAAATTTTACCGGCGAACAAACGGACGAAATTGATGGGCCGCTCGATAGCGCGGAGGTCTGCCAAAAGCTCTCGGACGAGAGCTCCTCTTTTACGGAGCAGTATTAACGGATGTCGGCTGGGAAAGAGGATGGGTAGAGAGGAGGCAGGGGGAAATCGTCATAGTCGAGCACACTGCGGTGTTTGCGACAAGAGAATATTTTATTTTAGAAACGTTCCACGATTCAGAATCATTTGGCGCGTTGCGGTGAGTCGCGTTATACGACGGGAGTCATACGATGGTGTTGGCGATTCTCTGGATATGGCGAATAGTCTGGACAGTCCGAAACGATGTTAGTAAGCGTACGCCGAGCCTGGATGAAACTTGTTGTAGTAGTCATTATAGTAGCCGTTATAGTACGCCAAAGGAACCGGCTGATACGGGTACACCTTCAAGTAAGGTGCAGTGTAGATCACCGGGTAAGGAGCCAATAATGGCGGCAAGGGACCTGGTCCCGGTGCTGGTGCCGGTTCCGGCATCGGTGCACACGTGACCGCTACTACCGCGATAGCCATTAGAACCTGGAAAGCAATAAGGGTGATTACATTTCGAAATCGGAACACGTCACTTAAATCGCACCATCCGATCTGCCCATCATCATCCCCCGTCGTTCCCCGGTCCCTGGTTTTTATAGTCGCTATGAAAAATGTCGAGAGTGTGCTTGAGCGAGTAAGTGAGGCGCATTTAGCGCCGATGGTGACTTTGGCGACGCCTGATCGGCTCTTTTTTTTTTGCGACCGCGAGTTCGATATCACCTCGCTCCAATTAATCACCGGGACGATCGCACGTGCCAAGAACTATCTCTTTCTTTTCCAGTTTTCCTCAATCCGCGATGATAGCTTCTTCCCCCTCCCCTCCGCTTTTCCTTTTCTTTTTCTTCTATGCTAATTCAATTATCCGTTCAATACAGACGTCCCGCGAAAATTCCGAAAACGTTTCTGCGGTTCTTCGATTTCGACGGCGCTGTAATTTCACGATAACGTTTTCCTCGTTCCGGATATTCCGCTTTGAAAAGGATTACACAGATTGATCGATCGCGAACGCTTTTACGTATGAAGCGAAGTGTTTGAGCGTTCTCGATTCGGGAGAACTCTACGAATTTATGAAGCGAAAGCGCTCAGTCGATACGTTTATTAGCGAAATTGAGCAGTACTCTATAGAACTTTGTAGTCGTAATATTAGTGCTGGCGCAGAATGTATCCAGCACTCGGATTTTATTCCGAATTTTATTTGATGCGCTGAGCAAAACTTTATATTGAACATTAAAGATTGTGCTTCAATGACAATTTTAGTGAACTAATTTTTGGGAAATCTCACATAACACGACACTCCATGCCGATGTTTGAGAACTAAAGCCAGTATTTATAACCGATTTTTATATTTAAGATCGTCTTTAGTACAGTCTTAAGATGTTATGAATTAGAAAGCCATATTAGCACCTTAAGATATTACTTAAGATGATCTGAAAATAAGAAACTATGAATACCGATCTAACAATAAGACTAATATTCATAGTTAATTTTTACATTTAAGACTGTATGAAGTATACAGTCTTAAGATGTCACAAACCAATCAGAGAGTCATATTAGGGCTTAGATGAAAGAAAAAAGAAATAAAGAATATCTAGCAGATTAAAAAATCTGTTAATCTATATTATTCTTTATTTCTTGTTCCTTGTTCTTTATTCCTCTTATTGTGTCCTCTCAATATTTCAAAGATATTACTTCAAACCGGTATTCAGTTTTTATTTTAAGATTATTTTAAGTAATATCTTAAGATTCTAATACGGCTCTCTAACCGATATTCATAGTCGAGTTTTACATTTGAGACTATCTCAAGTACAGTTTCAAGATAATCAAAAGTCATAATCAGAAGGCTGTATTAACATCTTAATAGATAATTTTAAAATAAGAACAAATTATGAATATCACCTTTTAGTTTATGTTAAGACCATGGTTAAGACATTAGTCTCAAATATAAGAATCCATGAACGAATATACCAGTTTATAAATACTGGCCTAGGTACAAAGTCCTAGGAGATGTCCCCGTAACCGGAAGTGAATCGGACGCACTGTAGAAAGATGTGAACGAACGAACACACACGAATGTATACGATGCGGATATACTTGCCAGTTTGAACATGTTAAACGTTTTATCAGCTTTATTCCCGTTAGAGAACACACAGGAGAACACTGTTCGGTACTGCAGTTGCAACTACGGGAAATCCGATCCCTTTATATAGATACATGTCTCCGGGATCATCATTGCGGACGTCTCATTGTGTTCGCCCCACCGCGCGACCATGGGCGGCCTTGAGCGAGCTAGATTTCCGCGTTGGCTTTTTTTCAACGTTCCTCGCCGCCTTCTGGCTTCTCGTTGTTGAGTCGACATAAGACTCGAGGGAGGTTCGCTGTTTATACATGATACATATCGAGATAAGTGCGGCGCGTACACGCGCCGCCACTCGGAAGTGACGCGGCATTCCGTGAGAATGCTTGCAGATCGGTATCGAGCGCATTGATTTATGGAAGGTCACGACGACAAGTATTTAAAGTTTATTCATTGAATTGAAGGTTACGACGACGAAGATGCAGTCGATGACGCCGATAACACGGAGAGAAGGGCGGCGCTTGTAATCGCGGTACAAGCGGAGGCGGAAAATCCGCGACTGTTGGTGTGAGCAGTAAAATGGCGACTTAATGAATCCAGAAGCTGTACGGTCTGTACGGGCGTTGCGAGAGAGAAACGTTCATTAAAGATAGTATTCGACATTGCTCCGTGGGCGGGCACCATTTCATTAATGAGGGAAAAGAAGTACCCCCGACTTTCGCGCGACTCAACGAATGTCCTGCTTTTATGGCTTCTTTGCATCACAAAGACGGCGCGCGCTTTATCCTGCGCGGATCTCCTCCGAATCTGAACGTGCTTCATCGCCATTAATATAAGACTCCGAAACGAAAGAATCGTCAATTGCTCTCATCTTGCGTCGCCGTTGTCGTCGTCGTGATCGTAATCGATGGTCCGCGTGTCCCAACTACTTTCATAGCGATTTATAAGATTTTTATCTTATATTCTTATCTCTTATGTTTTTAAACGCGTGCGAAAGAAATTTTTATGATTTTAGAATTTGACGAATAAATTACTCTTCCCTAAGTTAGATTATTTTTCTAACTAAAAGGGATTATTTTAAATCAATCTTTTTGTTAAAAAATCGTTTCTTTTTTTAAACAAAGAGGATTATTCCAAAGCAATCTTTTTGCAAAACGAAAACAAAACGATTTTTAACGAATTGATCCGGAGATCGCACATCCCATTTTGTATTCATTCTAAACAATATGAGCGTGGATTTAACATTATGGAGTGTTTATGTATAATAATTTTTATTGTGTTGATATAAATAGATAGAAATGTCTTTCTACGATACATGAAGCTGATACTTGTATATGTACGTCGTGATATGTTATGTAATAAAAAATAAGATAAGTATAACATTAACTATTATTAGAGAGCCGACAATTATGCTGTAAAAAATATGGGTGTGGGAATTTAACACCATACGTAGTTTATATAATTCTCACCTATCATTTATATCAATATTAAAACGGCGAGAATTATATAACCACCGTATATGGTGTTAAATCCCCACCCATATTTCTTAGAGTGTAATTATCAGCTTTATTGGTTTATAATGAGAAGTTAAAAAAATGTTATACTTATTTTTTTTCTCTCTTACATCACATTATATATGTTTATTTATACAAGTATTAACTTCGTGTATCGTAGAAAAATTTTTAAGACATTTTTATGATAGCAACAATAATTACTTCTGAACTTATTAGCTTTTGTCTTAGAAGACTTGTCTTAAAATGCTAATAAATGGTTGGTTCATTCACTTGAAGGTGATCAGCTCCATCAATACCGACACGAAAACACGCCTCCATGGATTTTTCTTGAAATAATTCAACTTGTCCTAAATAATCCAGGCGCTAAATGAGAATTCTTGAGTCATATAAAAGGTGTTATACTCGTATATCTATTCTCATATAGAACTCGCTGCATGCCCGTCGAAGCGTGACGGGTGCCAGTGTCTTTCGAAACAGCGAATGGAATATTTGTTGGCAATTCTGCACGTAAGGCCTAAAAATGGCGACGACCGTACGCGACAGGATCGTGATTTTCTACGCGCGCGTAGACGCCCACGGCTCAACCGAACCTGTCCTGGTGCCCGTAAAATGATTGTCCTGCATTCTTCGTTCGACACAATAAATTAAACGGTTATCTAACGCGCAAGTATATTTTGCATATAGGCGGGGTTTATAAGTTTATCGCTGACAGGACAGTCGCTAATAACTGGGAACCTTGTTTGATCAAAAAATGTCACCTCCTTCTTATCTTTCCCTGCTAAACCTTGTTTTTTCGCGACAAGTTTGACGTACATTTAATTATTGTTTAATAGTAGAGTAATCATTATTTGATTCTAATAGTTATATATGAACTTGTTTTGATGTCTTATCGCATTAATTACTACATATATATCTCTTTTGAAGTTTTATTGCATTAATAAATTAAATGGGAGATAAAACCGCGCGCATTTGCAAATTCTTTTGGTCTACTTCAACAAAATGAGATTACCGCGAGATGTTGGACCAAGAATTTTTGGTGTACCAAATAGATCGTACTAATTATCATGTTAAAAAAAGGCAATTTTTAAGGCTAAATTGTTTCTCTTTTGAAAAATATCAGTTCTTTCTTACTTTCTATTGTTTTATTCTCTTACACTTTTACTTATTCATTAGATAAATTATCGCATAATTTAGCCAAAGATGAAACAATCAGTCTTAAATGTTTAAAAATAGCTTTCTATGATTGTTTTATGTACCTCAAAAATTTCCAATTATTTTAAACAAATTGTATATATTTAGAATCAATTTGAATATATTTTAAGTTTTTTGAATTTTTAAATCAATTTTCTTACTAATTTAATCAGTTTGTGTATGTGTGTGAATATAATAATAAAAATATCTATTATTATTTAATTACGCTGTAACTTTTAAACTATACCTATAATAATTTTTACGCGATTCAAGGTTTTATTTTTAAAATTGGCGAATAAAATGTAAATGATAATAATTAACCACTTTTGCGATTGATTTTTTCCAGGTTTCTGGCGATCTGGTGGCCGCTAAAATGTCAAATCACGAAGCGGCGAGCTCGCATGATAATCGTCGTGATCTGGTTCATCGCTCTGACAATGACGTCACCCTGGTTGCTATTCTTTGACTTGGTCTCCATTTACGACGATGACCCCGACTTACGTTTCTGTCTGGAAAAGTGGCCGCATCCTAAGGACGGCTCACTGTTCTTCCTGATTGGCAATCTAATTCTTTGCTACGTGTTACCGATGATACTCATATCTCTCTGCTATATTCTTATCTGGATCAAGGTGTGGCGCAGGCATATACCCACTGATACCAAGGACGCCCAGATGGAGAGGATACAGCAGAAGTCGAAGGTGAAGGTGGTCAAGATGTTGGTCGTGGTCGTGATACTCTTTGTCCTCTCATGGTTGCCTCTCTACGTGATCTTTGCTGTAGTCAAATTGGGTGGCGACGTGGCGGAGAGGGAGGACGAGATCCTGCCGATTGCTACGCCGATCGCCCAGTGGCTGGGCGCCAGCAATTCCTGCATAAATCCGATCCTCTACGCTTTCTTCAACAAGAAGTACCGGCGCGGTTTTATCGCCATCCTGAAGAGTGGTCGGTGCTGCGGCAAGCTCAGGTATTACGAGACCGTTGCGATGATGTCTTCTTCGACGAGCATGAGGAAGTCCTCTTATTATGTCAACAACAATAACAACTCATCGACGAGACGCTGGCACGGACCACCAGTCCATCAAGACAGCAACGTTTCCTACATATTTAATCATACCGGCGTGTAAATGTGAGTCAAGGGTGCTCTGAGGTAGCCTTTATTGTGCAGATTTGATATACCCGATCAACGGTAGACAAACTGAAAGAGAACGCGGTGGCCTTTGCATCTCGATCGGCCGCTCTAACGCATGGTCGAAGCCAAAATCTGGCCGAAGTTAGCCGGTCCGAGAATTATGGATCATCTTGTGGATGATCGACATGATTGTTACTCGGGCCGGAAGTCGCCAATGGAGAAACGAGTGCCGGAGAAGAAGAAGCCTTTCCCGGCAGACCACGAATCGTCGCCCTGCCATTGCCCTTACATCGTTATTTGGATTTTGTCACAATGTTAGCCACTACGCGTATTCTACGTAATATATATTCTAATTGTTAAGACGAGTTCACCGCTGCGAGCGCGCGGTTGTACAATTGTTCGTCCAACGACACGACGAAGTATAGCTTTCTAGGTGATCCAAGAGATTTACGCTTCAATGAATCTTAGAATTTCTTCTATGTTCGAGATATTTGTACACAGTATGTTTGAACGAAGAGTCTAGTTAAGTCTACCAATTAAATGTAAAGCAGAATGAAGTTTGTCACGATTGCGGCAGATGCATGCACACTTGTGTGTCAAGTACGCCAGTAATTAGCGCGACAGTGGTGAGTGGCGATGATGTTGGGATGATGACTCGTGTGAGCACGGATACGAGTTGAGTCGTTGTCTCTTGACAGTAGACACACAGCACTTCCGTCATGACAAACAATTGAGCCGATCCTCAGTGGGATACCGTAATTAAGGAAACAGGAGTGCAGGAAGCGTGTGTACCAATTAACACGGAATTTTATCGAATATATGACGGGAAGCACAACGTGTAGGGTAAAACTTGATTTTGGTTTTTGGATTTCACGCGAGTGGTCTTTGGACGGAACAAGATATTGGTAAAATAAATCGCATAAGACATTATCGACGCGTGTATCCAGTACTGCATTTTTGCAAAAAATTCATTCGTACATGTCGAAATCATCAGTTGCACCAACAATTGAGATTAGATAATACGAATCCATAGCGAGACGAGAACGAGCATATAATAATTTGCAGATTGTTATTAATGATCAGTATTGTAATTGCGAAGAACAGTTTGTTTACATTTTTCAGAAGAAAGTATTGGTCAATGGATTATGGCTGGTTTCTTTGTAAGACTATAACTTACGCCATTTTCTAATATGTACCACTAATGTCCATTAAAATTTTTCATTCTATAGTATATTTATTCTACATAAGGCAG